TGTGTGTGTGTGTGTGTGTGTGTGTGTGTGTATATATATATATATATATATATATATATATGTACATATCTGTATATTAAATATTGATATGTACGTACTGAATCAAGTTATATATTTTTTGTGTTTCAGTGTGCATGCCTAAATACAGCTGTATATGTGCTTGTTAAATACACCAATGCATGATGTGCTCTCTATAATAATCTGTATACACCTTGCAGGATTAGACAATTCTTATCCAGGGGCCATTGCCTGCCTGCGTTGTAGTAAGGGATGTGCCACGTGTGTGGATAACTCTCCTTGTGTGGTGGAAGAGGACTGGGCACTTCGTGTAACTGTATTATCATTACAAGCTACTGGGATGTTGGGAGTCTTCTTGAGCATGCTGGTCTCCTACTACTTCCGGGAAAGCAAAGTAAGTAAATCCATGTAAAAGAGAGAACATGAGATCTTTGGAATACCAGTCAAAACTCAAAATCAAGGCATACATATTTAAATGAATAAATGTTTGATTGTGAATTTGCAAATGCAGTGATTGGAAGAAAACGTATTTACCAGGTTATAAGCATTTTGCAGGAAGTGAAGCCTGGTTTAAAAGTTCTATTTCTGTGAAGTTCAGGCAACATTTGCCTTTTTATGCAAATAGTACATAGTAAAACTTCCACATGAGCAGTAGAAAGTTGCCCAGTAGAAGCTAATTTTTAGCTTTTACATTTAAGTAAAATGTATTGCTGCCAACACTAAGTAAAAAGTGCACATAAAGGGTAATAATACAAAATTACTAGTAATTTGTTTGATGCATGCAGCTGTACTTTAATCTACTCATATTAGGAACATCAGTAATCTTATTTGGCAGACTAATTAGAAAGTTAACCTTTAAGGTGCCCATACACTGCACGATTATCGTACGATAATCGTATGCGATCGGTTTTTCGTACGATAATCGAGCAGTCTGAACGGAGACGTGCGACCGTTTCTACTGTACGGTCGCACGTCTTCTGTCGAACCAGCATGTTCGAAAACCAGCCGGGAATCGTAAGATTCTCGGCTGGTTAGAACGGTGCTCGGAAGACAAATGCCGAGCGGGCCGGTGTGCGCACGCGCACACTGCCCGTTCAGCATTGCGGTCATCGGAAGCCCGCCCCTCAGGGGGGCGGGCTTGCGATGATCGAGAGTGCGATCTGCCTGTCCAAGATAGGCAGATCGTACGTTTTTTTAATCCCTGTACAACCATTGCAAAACTAAAGTCTTGCGATGGTTGTAGAGTGTATGGCCACCTTTAGAGTACTTAGGAGTGACCCATAATTTAAGTGTGGTCACCTAGGAGCTTGACTGAATCTTCAGCTGCTGGAATGTAAATAGCATTAAGGTACCCAGCACTGGTTGCCAATAATCCACTATGGACTATCCAGAAAAACACACTGCTTGCATGCCATGCCAGCACCCAGACACCTTCACGATTCTATCTCCAATGTGAGTCTCTGCAGATTGGGCCAGGAAAGAAGGCAAAAAGAGGGATGGAGGAGCTGATGGTGATGGATAGATTAACGATACTGTGTTAGATCCAGGTCTGATTTAGGTCTGTGTGTAAAGCTGGCCATACACTTATTATGCTAGTCGGCCCCGCTGGCTCTCAAAATACCTGAACAATCTGATTGGATGCAGGATGCTGAAGCTTGATCCTGTGGGAGATTCCTCCATCCACACAGCTTAGCATAGATGGAGGAATCTGTTGCACTTTTTCCATCTGACCATAGAAAATCTGCAGATAATCGATAGGTGTATGGCCAGCTTAAGTGTTAAGAGTTACGGTCAGTATTTGTGTCCGCGTTAGATTTTTGTTTAGTGCCAATGTCCTTATCAGTGTTAGTGACAGTGTGTTTTAGGTAGGATAAAAAAATGCACACAATGTTTTCTGGGCCCTGTACCCATAGGTATAGGTTTATACCTATGGGTATAAACAACTTCTAATACATACATTTGTGGTATCGCCAATAACATCAGGAGTAAGAGAACTTATTTTAGATTTTGCAGATCAATAAAACACATGTGAAAATCAATAATCAATTGGTGAGGAAGCATGAGAGAGATAACTTAGTATCTAACCCTTTAGGTCTAACTATTACATTTTTGAATCCAGAATGCTTCTCTGCGTAACAGGATGTTGTTCCTATTGCCACCCCCTGTGTGGTCTAGGTTTGTGTTCAATAACCATGGCTCGGAGGTTGTGTACCTGGTGATTGTTGTGGGCAAAGTTACTGGTTTATTGGGGTCAATATCTTTGGCCTGCCGTTTTAGTTCAACCGCTTGTTTGATATCACTCTTATCTCCCTGATAGTTTGATGATGATTGATTGATGTGTATGTCGGCAAGACCAATGAGAGCAGGGGCACTTAAAGGAGAACTATGAGGCGAGTGAAAATCACTCAACCTCATAGTTCTAGCCGACCTGTGACAATAAAACTGTCACAGGTCGGCTCAATAGATCGGGAAGTGAAAGAACACATACCATCGCTCGCTCACTTCTCGATCTATCCCTGCAGAGAGCCGTGACTGTCACTCACGGCTCCCTGCAGGGATTCCCCTCTCCCCTGTCCGATCCTCCAGCGCTGACTGGCGGAACGGACGGGGAGGGGGCGGGTACAGCTGGCTCTGCCTCCTAGATAGGCAGAGCCAGCTGTCACTCACGCAGCTGGGTGGATCTCGACAGTGATGTTTCGTCCGGCTGCGGTGTCTCAGTATACCGCAAGCTTTAGCTCGCGATATACTGAGTTTTGGGTGACGGGAGGACGCTAGTTTGTGTCCTCCCATTACCCTTAGGAGAACTATGGTGAAAATCCCTGACCCCATAGTTCTCCTTTAACCCCTTCACGACCTATGATGGGATAATCCTGTCATGAAGTCTGAATGGGTTACACAGACACAGGCTTTTAGCCACCGGGAGTCTGTTCCGTTTCGTAGAGCCGGCGACCGGCTTTACAGTAGAAGCGATTCTGGCAGCTCAGCTGCCACAGAATCGCTTCTACGATCCGGTAACCGACAAAATTGTTTAAGTCTCCTGCCCCTGCGAGCACGTGCGTTGTCACGTAAACACGCGTCGGGTACGCCTATGTACAAAAACGACGATTATGCTACACATGTTGGGTATCACTGTGCATGCCTGAGTGAGAGCAATAATTCTAGGTCCAATATTTACATGTATATTTAAACTGATGACCTGTGGGGGCTTTTAAAACGTTCTGTGTGGACTTTTTGGGGTACTGAATTCTGTCTCAGTTTCACAGATGCACGCAATTTTTAACCTGGGCATGTTAGGTATCTATTTACTCAATGTAACCTCATCTTTTACATTCTTGTAAAAAAATGGTTTCATATTGTGTTTTGGAGCACTAAATTTAAGTGCATTTTTCATTAAATTTATGGGTTTGATAATAAGTTGCGCTAATGTCGTGCAACATAAAAATTTGCAACTGCTGCCATTGTATTTTATAGGGTCTTGGCTTTCAGAAAATATATAATGTGTGGGGGTTTTAACTAATTTTTAGGCCTAAAATGTGGATTATAACATGGGTGCAAAAAATGAAAAAAAGGTGATACAGCTAGGGTAGCCCTGAATTAGGTATTGCTTACCATTATGAGGATGATAAAATGCTTACCCAGTTATCAGTGCGTTACAGACTGCAATTTGGGTGTCATATTTCTCACGTGGATCCGCACAGATTAGGTGGTTTCTAATAGGTCTGTTGTTGTAGTAGACAACCTGCGGTGTCTGTTTGACAAATGGCGCAAGAGCATTGTAGAGTGCATGCAAAAATGCTGGAGTGCGGATTGAATTTGGTAACAAACTTCTGGTCCTGCCCGGCCCTCCGACGGTTTTGGGAACAAGTGCGCGCTCTCGCTCAGAAATTTACGGACGTCCGGGTGCCTGAAGAGCCGACCTTCTTTCTCCTCCACCATAACACCATCCCGCTGCGCTCCTATACCCACTCCTTTATCAGACACGTGGTAAATGCCGCCCGAGCATGTATTCCAGCACTCTGGAAGAAACCTGAAGCCCCCCTCATAAGCCAAGTCCTAGACCATATCCATGATATATACATCATGGAAGATCTCACGAGCTACATTAAACATACCTCTGCCTCAGTCGCTCGAACCTGGTTCCCCTGGTTGGAATACATTCGGTCCCCTGACTACCTTACCCTCAGATAGGAGAAGGCTGACCTGCTCCTGATGGGGAAACCTTATCCCATCTCCTCCCTGCCTTTCCTATTTCCCCACCCTCTTTAGGTATATGCCCTACTACCATCTTTAAGATTGAACTTTTGAATTGTTGATAGATATATGGTTTGAACCATTGTAGGAACTCCAGGATAAATGTGCTATCCCCCCTGCTCTTTTGACGACTTGTTCTCGCCACCCTCTCTCCCTCTTGGTTGGTTAGAGTCCTCCAAGGGTGTGGACCCAATCATTGCCCAATTTTCCAAGAGGGTATATATGTAGTTAATTGAGCTTATATTCATGTAGATATTTGTACATGTGCACTGAGAATTACTATTTATTTATTATATTTATTAATAGAGTTATCTCAGCTTTGGATCTACAAAGAAATTACAGAGTTTTGCCTCCACTAAACCTCCTGAGGAAGCGTTAGCGAGCAAAACGCGTTGAGGGCCGGAATAGTGCAATTATAGATGAAATTATGCTTGCCTTGTAAATGTGTATGGACAATCATGCATCAAATTCATGACCATTACTACAAAAAAATATATTGTTATTATATACAATGGCATGATCTAAATATTCAGTTCATTTCATTATTCAATGTCTTTTTTTATATTATAAAATGAGTAATATAAAAAAAAGACATTGAATAATGAAATGAATATTTAGATCATGCCATTGCTAACTAAGGCTTGTATCCCCATAGTGGGGAAAATAGATGAGCACATGTCCAGATTCAAGAACACTGTATAGTTTGGCACAGCTATATACAATTCTGTATAACTGGCTTTATATTATTATTACATTTTTTTATAATATAAAGCCAGATATGCAGAATTGGCTATATCTGTGCCACACCATACAGTGTTCTGGTCTGGACATGTGCTCATCTATTTTCCCCACTAGGGGGATACAAGCCTTAGTTAGCAATATCTACATAGTTATTTTCTTTATTTAATGTCTTTTTTTAATATTATATGCAGTTAAACAGCATTTTTGTGCCCAGCCCCCATGCGGTGCTGCAGTACTAACCTGCTGTGTTGTCTTCTCCGTCTGCTTCAGCCACTCCGTGTCACAGCCTAGTCATCTGCTCCATTCTGACCTCTTCTCCCACTGATTGGCCGATTGGATGATGACAGGCTTCCTC